GCTGAAGGTGTCGCCCCAAAGGAGATTAATCAGAGAATGCAAGCTGTTTATGGTGATTGTGTTGATGTACTGTGTGTCATTAGGCAAGTAAGTTTAAATATGTTGAGGTGGGAACATCTGACTTGCGTGACAAAGAAAGAGTTGGACGTCCTGTGACAGCAACCACCAAGTTTCACGAGCAAAAGGTTGACAGATTGACTCAGGACAATCGTCGTATCACTCAGAGAGAAATTTCATGCAAGTTAAAGAGCACATTCTAAGGATTATTTCTGCGGTTGATTTATTAAAATATTCCCATCCAAACCCAAGTAATGAAAGTGGAGGCATTACTTTTCATTCAACCCTAGTACACTTAGCAAAGATATCTTTTTTCCTGACACATCTGACTTGCTACCAAGGTATGAGTGACTTTGCCATGAGCTAGGTATGTTGCTAGGAAAACAACTAAGGTGTTCAGAAGAATAACCAGATTTCTCCTGCTAATATAAAAAGGATGAAACAAAGAGCAATGAAAGAAGGACAGGATCAAGAGGTGAATTATTCTGAAACAAACTTTCTTCTTTACCCCTGTCATTCCAGCTGTTGGCAGGCCAATAGTATAGTCCAGAGAGCCCGGAAAAGTACAGAGTTTTAAAAGATCACTCAAACGGTTATTGGAAATGATGAAGTCTGATGACCTCTTGATTGAATATTAGTCACACACACACGCATCAGTTGTGAAAACCGATACTCCCAAACCAGATATAGGGCCCTTTCATACAGCCCTATAACCCAGAATATCAAGTCAGAAAATCCCAAAATATCTGCTTTGAACTGGATTATGTGATTCCACACTGCCATATAATTCAGTTCAAAGCAGAAAAGATGGGATTTTATTCAACTGTGTGAAAGGGGCCATCGACTCTGGGTTAAAAAAAAAAAGATTCCTTCAAAACTGCTTTCTTTTGTATTGCAAAATGGATAATGGGCACAGGGCAATGATCTCACTGGAATAAAAAGAAAGAGATCACCCAGTAAGTACCCAAATGCATACCCAGAGGATGATAAACATCACCTCAGCAAACAGCTGTTTTGAAATGACAGTCAAGGGTTTATATATATCAATCAAAATACAACAGACATTATTATAAATTATGTTGTCAAATCTCAGATATTATCAAATCTGTATTTCAACCCCTTAAACTAGGTTATATAGGAAGTAATAAATGGGATCTTAAAAGAGCCAAGTACCCACTCTTCTGCTGGGTTATAGATGGACAGCTGACCTAAAAGCCAGTATCTCACACCACCACTATCCCATCTGTTCTAATGTGGGTACAATCTATCCATGTAAACAATTCTATTCTAAATTCTATTCAATTCCCTAACTTTTGGGTATTAAAACATTGAGTTCTGTTTCCGCAGAATCCTATCCCAGAAAAAGTGGAGTCTCAAACCTGACTACAAGAAAGAATCTCTTGGGTAAACACCTGCGATGCTTTTGCTGGAGAACAGTGGCATTCTACACTGAGCAGGAAATCCCAATACAACACATGCTGTATGTCATTCTAGGGGCTAATACGTCTCACCACAGGCTCTTATAGCAGCCTCAACTTTCTCACAACCCTGCAACCAAAATACTTTCTTCTGTACCCTCCTGGCCCTGATCATGCTGTCACTTGCAACTCTGGTGAGGCTCTCTCTCCATTTACCAGCTGCCATCGTACTAAGAGAGTGAGAAGAGTAGCCAGAGGCAGCCATCATAGAATCATAGAATCAAAGAGTTGGAAGAGACCTCATGGGCCATCCAGTCCAACCCCTTGCTAAGAAGCAGGAATATTGCATTCAAAGCACCTCTGATAGATGGCCATCCAGCCTCTGTTTAAAAGCTTTCCAAAGAAGGAGCCTCCACCACACTCCGGGGCAGAGAGTTCCACTGCTGAACAGCTCTCACAGTCAGGAAGTTCTTCCTCATGTTCAGATGGAATCTCCTCTCTTGTAGTTTGAAGCCATTATTCCATTGCGTCCTAGTCTCCAAGAAAGCAGGAAACAAGCTTGCTCCCTGCTCCCTGTGGCTTCCTCTCACATATATATACATGGTTATCATATCTCCTCTCAGCCTTCTCTTCTTCAGGCTAAACATGCCCAGCTCCTTAAGCCGTTCCTCATAGGGCTTGTTCTCCAGACCCTTGATCATTTTAGTCGCCCTCCTCTGGACACATTCCAGCTTGTCAATATCTCTCTTGAATTGTGGTGCCCAGAATTGGACACAATATTCCATGTGTGGTCTAACCAAAGCGGAATGGAGCATGGGGAGCATGACTTCCCTGGATCTAGACACTAGGCTCCTATTGATGCAGGCCAAAATCCCATTGGCTTTTTTTGCCGCCACATCACATTGTTGGCTCATGTTTAACTTGTTGTCCACGAGGACTCCAAGATCTTTTTCACACGTACTGCTCTTGAGCCAGGCATTGTCCCCCATTCTGTATCATGCCCTGCCCATTGCAACTTGGGACCCTCATTCCATGTTCTGCTACTGCTCTGTTCTCTTCGGGACAGAGAAACAGCCAGCATCTGCTGGACTTAAATCCTTTTCCTATTGCCATTCCTTTTTCCTTATATGTCATGCCTTAGACCAGGGGTTCTCAAACTATGTCCCAGGGGCCAGATACGGCCCTCCAAGGTCATTTACCAGGCCCTCGCTCAGGGTCAACCTAAGTCTGAAACGACTTGAAAGCACACAACAACGACAACAAACCTATCTCATCAGCCAAAAGCAGGCCCATACTTCCTATTGAAATACTAATAAGTTTATTTTGTTAAAATTGTTAAAATTGTACTTCATTTTAATTATTGTATTGTTTTTAAGGGGTTTTTTTGCACTACAAATAAAATAAAATATGTGCAGTGTGCATAGGAATTCATTCATTCAAATTATAATCCAGCCTTCCAACAATTTGAGTGACTGTGACCTGGCCCTCTGTTTAAAAAGTTTGTGGATCCCTGCCTTGGACTGTAAGCCTAAGGCACAGAATTGCTAAATTAATGATGTGCCTTTTTAAACTGAAGGATGTAGTATAAATGCTCTCTATATGTAAAATGGCTCCATCTTTCACATCGGCAGCACAGGTTACCTCCCTGAATAGGAGTACTTTCTGCCAGTTTCATGTGGTCTGCCTGCTATGCCAATTCCTGGAAAGACTCTTGGCTCCAGTGATTAATCCATTAGTAACCTCTAGACCAGAAAACTGCAAATTTGGTAGAACTGCATTAGACTATTCAACGCTGGGCCGATTGATGGTTTCATTGTTGACTTATAATAGCTTGAACAAAAGGGCTTCGGGTGGGACTGAGAAACTGTTATCCATAAATCCAGTACACTCCCTTGTTGGAGGAGAAAGCCCTTCCAATCAACCATGGGTATACTTAATTGGAAGAAGGGCCTTCTCCATGGTGGCCCCCATATTAAAGGTGCCCTCTTCTTAGAGATATGATGGGTGTCTGTGTGCAGTACAGTTACAGGTGCACTGCCGGTTGGCAAAAATGTGTCAATGCGTCATATATGTATTCTTGTTCACTGATACAATATCTTTAGCAAATGTATTGTCGAAGGCTTTCATGGCCAGAATCTCTGGGTTGTTGTAGGTTTTTTTGGGCTATATGGCCGTGTTCTAGAGACATTCTCCTTGTGATTTTTTTTTCACCTTTTGCATTCTATGGAGACAACTCTTATAAAAATCAGGGTGGGTTTTAAATAGAAGACAAAAAAAATGGCTGTTTATATACATCTGTGGAATGGACCAGGGTGGGGGACAAAGAAAAAAACACCTCGGTGTCTGTGGAGGGGCTAGTTGTGGAATGTTCTGGGTGGGAGACTCCAATTTGATGGCCTGGCAGTGCCTGGGGCAATCTTTTGTTGAGAGGTGATTAGCTGTCCCTGATTGTTTCCTCTCTGTTGTTTTGCTGTTCTTTTGCTACAGTCCACAGATATATAAACCCATTTTCCTAGTTCCAACAGATCTCACTACCTCTGAGGATGCTTGCCATAGATGCAGGCAAAACGTCAGAAGAGAATGCCTCTAGAACATGGCCATATAGCCCGAAAAAACCTACAACAACCCTCTTTAGTAAATGTATACTTTGTCTTATTGGCGCTTTTAATCACATTGGTTCATTAATATGTAGGACTTTGCACTAAGGGTTTGCAGTCTATCTCTCTACTCTTTTATGGTTTTATGGTTTATACACAACAACACTATAGATAGCACACAGTACTTAAAAGACCCCTCCCTCCCTGTTCTGGAGTTCTTGGCCTTGCTGAAACTCTCCAATGTGTCCTCACCCCTCACCAATAACTTCCTCATCTGTCTTACTCAATTATTCTGTCTTATGCAGTTTATATGAATCTGCACTGCATTCAACCAGCATTATATGGCAGTGCAGTTGGGACCCAAATCACAATTTTCTGGACAGATTTCTAGAAGTGTCAGTTCCCACTTTCCTATAGTTCTTCAAGAGCTGGCAAGGGAATGCAGAGAAAAACTCTGGGAAACATAAGCAAATACCAATGCAGCCCAACTCAGGGAGGAATGTATCTGAGAATCAGAATGTTTGATGGCCCTTTCTGCCCTCCCACAAGGTAGAAAGATGATCACCAAGGTGGAGGAATGAGAATTTATAATAGATAAATTGTTTATGTGAAGGAATTTTTTGCTGCCTCCCATGGACATAATACATGGAAGCCAGCCTAGCCCTTTCTTCATCCTATGCGAGCTGGTGAGGAAAGGTTGGTGCCTCCTATTGTAGAAGGTATCTTTTTGGACTGAGGAGAATCTAGAACAAGTGTGTACATAAGAAGGCAGAGCACATTTCTAACTTCCAGAAAGAGTGGAGTTCCGCTCTGCAAGCACAGACTCATAGTTGCAAATGAGCGGGTAATCACTTGAAGAATGAGAATTAAAGGTAAGCAACCTGCTTTGAAAACATCTCTGTTAACACCCATGTAATAATAATAATACCTGCATCCACATCATTGGGCCAGCCACTGGACTGGCTGCTGCCAGCTGCTGGGGACCTCCCTGTCCCAGGGTAGAACACATCATCTACCGGGCTCTCCATCTCACTGTCATCTATCGACTTGGGCCTCTTGGTAGAGCTGCAAAGGAAACATACCACACAGAAGGGGAGCATAAGCAACAGGGAATGATGAGAGGTAGCAGAAGTAGCTGTGGAAGGGTTTCAACCTCAGGGGAGCAAAAGTCCAAATTAAGACGCAAAGTAGCTTGCAGGTTTTGTTTTATCTTCCATGATGGCACATGGGGCTAAAACCAATAGTGCATTGACTTTTGTAATGTGTTTTTTCCTCCCTCCCTCCCTCCCTCCCTCCCTCCCTCCCTCCCTCCCCTGCAACCATCCATGCTACCCAATAAAACACCTCCAGGTTTTCCCAGCCCTCCAACATTAGTTTTGAAGATACTGTCATTGCCATAGGCATTGACCAAGTCCACATTCTGTTGAAATTTACTGTTCCACCACCAGGTCCTTCCTCTCATTTGCAGTGTCATTTTTTCTACAGCCTTTGTTGGATGGGGTTACACTCCCCCTGAAGACGCAGGTTTGCAACTTGGATGTGATCTTGGATTCATCGCTGAACCTGGAACCCCAGGTTTCAGCGGTGATCAGGGGAGCATTTGCACAGTTAAAACTTGTGCGCCAGCTGCGCCCGTACCTTTGGAAGTCTGACTTGGCCACGGTGGTCCATGCTCTGGTTACATCCCGTATAGACTACTGCAATGCTCTCTACGTGAGGTTGCCTTTGAAGACTGTCCGGAAGCTTCAAATGGTCCAACTGTCAGCAGACAGGTTACTAACAGGAGCGGCACTCAGGGAGCATACAACTCCTCTGTTGCGCCAGCTCCACTGGCTGCCAGTTTGCTACCGGGCACAATTATATGCTAAAGCCAGCACAAAGTGCTGGCTTTAGCTTATAAAGCCCTAAACGGTTCCGGCCCAACTTACCTGTCCAAACGCTTCTCCTCCAACGAACCAGCTAGGGTGTTAAGATCATCTGGGGAGGCCCTGCTCACGGTCCCGCCTGCGTCACAAGTACGTTTGGCGGGGACGAGAGACAGGGTCTTCTCAGTGGTGGCCCCTCAGCTGTGGAACGCCCTTCCTACAGTTATTTGATCGGCTCCCTCCCTGTTGACATTTTAAAGGAAAGTGAAAACCTGGTTGTTCGAGCAGGCAGGGCCGAAGCCAGAAAATATTTTTGAGAGAGGTTGAAAATTTCAGGGGGGGGGGGGTTGAAATTTTCGCGGGGGGTGGGTGGGTTTGAAACCTGCCTCCTAGCTCACGCTAAAGCAAATAGCACAGCAGGGGGCAGAGCAGCCTTCAATAGCCCGCAGCTCCGCCCCTGTCAACCACCTCCACCAAGTCTGGCCTCCTTAATGAGAGCATTCAACACCCCCCCCCCCCAACTTGGTTGCTTCACTACATCGGCTATTGCTGCAAGTTATGACAGTGTGAATAAATTGTCAATATTTGCTTGAGATAAATTGTCAATATTTTGCGTCTCATAGACTTAGCATGGGGATTTGTTTAACCAGTTAAAATTCATGAGTAAACCAGGTTTTGTTTTAACCAGAAAAATTTCGGGGGGGGGGCGTTGAACTCCTAAACAACCCCCCCCCCAGCCTGCGAGCAGGCATTTGAATAGGCAGTGTAACGATAGGAATATGGAACAATTGGACAATGAGACTGGATTTCGATTTTAACTATGAGACGCGAATGAGATGTTTTATTGATTTATATTAACTATATGCTACTGTTTTAATTGTTTTTAACTGTTTTATGATGAGCATTGAATTTTGCTATTGTTAACCGCTCTGAGTCGGCCAAGGGCTGAGAAGAGTGGTATACAGATATAGTAAATAAATAATACAATTAACTGACCACCTCCCGCACAACTAGAACTGTGGGATGGCCTTGCCACAAGAGGTACCTCTTGATTCCAAGGCTATGATACTTCAAAAGGACAGAGCTTCTTCTGTGACTCAACAGATGCAGAGGATGTGAAGACTTACCTGCTAGAAGGCGGAGATGTTATTGACCTTCTACCAAGAGCCACTTGATTGATGTTGTAGTAACTGGGACTCTCCAGGTCAGCCAGAGAGAAATTTGGACCAGACGCTGTGGCAACAGGAGCTGAGGAATGAGAGATCATAACTCAGAGATTGGAAGCAAACAATCTTCCTTGCTTAGCAGTTTCCAGATTCCAGGAAAGAGGAAAGGGATTTTTTAATGCAGGAATTTATTTATTCAATTTATATCCCACCTTCTCCCCTGCACAGGATTTATCTAGTTAGAGACATTACTGACAAGTGACTCTCCAGATGCTGTTGGTTTGTGACTCCCATCAACACTGACCATTGACCATAGTGGCTAAGGATGATGGGAGCTGCAAGCCAACATCTGGAAGTTCATTGGGCTATGAGCATATCCCTCATTTAGTTGTTCTTGGAAGAATTTGCTTTTTGGACAATGCAAATGCTTTTTGGACTGAGCTGAATTGGGAGCTGTTGCTTTGGAAGTTATAATGCAGGAAAATACTGTATTTCATCACATAATGTCCCTACTCTGTACTTTATAGACTGTATTAGGTGCCCTGCTGAAAGGACACAAGGGCCATATCCATAAATAGACGGAAGCAGGAAGTACGATCTACAATTAAGGACACTGACAGACGAAAGTACTACTGGGTGGGTTCTGCTACATTAACCAACCCTTATAATGTGAGTCTTGGAAACCAAGGTGATAACTCTAAAGCCTGATTTCTAATCCTAAATAAACTTCCCATTTAGAACAAAGAGCTTCAAGCACAAGACAGATGCAAACAATGAAAATGATAACTCACAGTAATGAAAAATTTATATTAATTCTAACCATACCCAGAGGAATTTCCAAGCCAAATGTTCTCCATTTTTCTTCTCATACTATTCCAAATATCTAATGTACAGATTTGTACATTTTAAGTTTTTGGATTGTTATATTTGTGCCCTGCCACAAAATAGTTTGTCACTTGCACATCAAATAAAAAAGTTTCAAGTAAGTAAGAAATTTCATTCTGGTCACTCGTTATTCTCCCTCCGCCTGATGTTTCTCCTCAACTCCCAGGCAACATTGAAAGTGTTGGCTATATGGATTGATGAGAATGATTTTAATGGGTTTTTAACTTAATGTTCTATTTACTGTTTTAAACTGTTGTTATATTTGTTTATATTTGTATTATCTTGTGGCATTGAATTGTTGCTGGTGTAAGCCGCCCTGAGCCCCCCCCCCCCTTCGGAGGTTGAGAAGGGTGGGTTAGAAATGTGGGAAATATCTCTCTTTTCCAATTGGAAAAGAAAGTGATATCCAATATTTACAATATATTACTTACTTGGCTAACTGAAAAAGAACAGGTTAAAATGGCATGATAAAATGGGCTCAAAACTTAAGAAGACCAATTCAAATGAGAGAATGGGAGCAAATGTGGAATAAAAAACTGAAATATACATATGCAATGGCTTTAAAAGAAAATTGGATAAAAATATTCCACAGATGGTATACTACACCTAAAAAATTAGCTAAAATGTATAAAACAGCTTCAGATAAGTGTTGGAAATGTCACGAGCAACTTGGATCTTTTTTCCATATGTGGTGGACATGTAAAGTAGCATCCAAGTTTTGGACAGAAATACACGAAGAAGTACAGAAGATTTTAAAAATAAAGTTCACAAAAAACCCGGAGTACTATTTACTTGGGTTTACAGATCTAGATCTGCAATTAAATGAACAAGAAGATAAACTTTTTACATTTATCACAACTGCCGCCAGAATTGTCTTTGCAAGAGAATGGAAGCAAGAATTAAATCCACCTATAGAAGAGTGGATAGAGAAAATTAGGGAAATTATGGACATGGACGAATTGACTGTTTTGTTGAAAAAAAAATATGGGCAATACGTTAAAAAGAACAAATTGGAACCCTCTCCACAGCTACCTGGAAAAATTGCGAAAATAGAAGACACGATAGACACTTATTTTTTAGGGAATATTTTTTAATAATAAAAAGACATTAACCAAGAAGATGGAATGGAAGTCAATTTTCTTTTTTTAATTTTTGTTTTTGTATCTATATATTATTTTTTTAACTATTTTTTCATTTTTCACTTTTTCATTTTTTATTTTTATTTTTCACTTTTCAAATATTTTTCCTCTTTTTCCTTCTCTTTGTATACTACTATCTTTCTCTCTCTTTCTATACTGTTATTGTTCCCACTCTTTCGTTGTATTATGGAAAATCTAATAAAATTTTTTTTTTAAAAAAAAGAAATGTGGGAAATAAAATAAATAAATAAATAAAGTGCAGGAGTGGGAGCCAATTTCAACAACCCCCTCATAAAAGAAATGAGGGGGAAGCTTGGAAGAACAGCAGCAACCTCTCCTCTAATTTCCTGGTCTCTCCCTGGCTTGCTATCTTCTCCCTCAACTCACAATCATGCTGTTATCCTTGTCCTAGTGTTATCTCTCTTCCATTCTTACGTGGTTAATTTCTCATCTTGTTCTTATCCCCTTCCCTGCTTTATCCCATCCTGGTGTATCAGGCGTCAAGTCAGGATGTAACAGGGCTCTGAAGAACTGGCTTTTGGTGTTGCATGGCACTGGCTGCCTGGGGCCAGTTGGAAGGGGAAGGAAGATTGAGGCAGGTCAGCCCTGAGCACCTGATTTTGGGATGGGGGGGTCTTGTTTGGGGGTACTGTGTGAAGCTAATTTTTAAATAATTTTTCATCTGGTTTTGGAACAGTCAAAGGTCATTTTGCCTTTGTTGCCACAGGCTAGGGATGTACTTTCCAATTTGTTGTTTGGAGATGGTCGCATTACAAGAGAGATGGCTCACTTGGCACAAAACGCAGATCTGGAGATTTGGCTTGGCCACTGACAAACTAGTTGGGGCCAGTTATCTCTAGTTAGTAGGTTATAGCATATATAACAAAATTGATCTGTGATTAAAAAGGCTAGGAGGTTGATTTATTCTGGAATGTTAGTTGCCTTATCACACTGAGCTTGGCTTGGCGCAATGAGAGAAACAAAGGAGTTATCAATCACATATGCTGACATAGATGGAGAGGGGGAGGAATCTTGCTGAAAGTATGTCTTAGTATTTTGTGTGGAATCATTCCAATAAAAATAGTATAATAGAAATATGTGCATTTACTCATTTCTCCCTTCTCTCAAAATCTGAAGGATCTTGATGACCACCTTTAAAAAATATTTGTTCAACTTTGAGAGTTTTAAATCTTGAGTTATCTCTTGGTGATATATGGCAACAAAATATTTAAAAGAGTTCCTGATTTTTTTTAAAAAAATAAGAATGACTGACATAAACAGCTAGCAACTGCTGCCAAACATTCCTGAGATAGGATGCCTTATTCACCCAACACTGGCCCTGTCTATCTGGATTAAATGCCTATGTATTACAGATACCTCAAAACCCAATTAAGCATGTCTGAAGCTCATGAACCTTTTTGTCAGGAACCCACATGATAAGAAAAACAGCAAGTAAGACAAAAGTATTCTGAGACAATGCCAATCTTTTCAGGCATAGGGTTCTAAAAAGGGGAGATTACCTACATTTTTATACCATGTTCATGTGGCAGGTAATAGCTTTCATGTCAGTGCAGTGGAGAACCATGGATTTTAGTATGAAATTTTGAAGAAGATATCTATGCCCAGAACAGGTTCAGCAGCTTGGCTACTTCCTTTAATATTCATTCTAAACTCATAGCAGAACCATTGCCTTATTAACATATTAATGCCATATTCACTGTAAGAGTTGTTCTCTTTCAAGTATATTTTTTTGTAAATGCAGCAAGTGGGTAGCAGGAAGAACCCAATAGCAAGGTTGGTGGTTACTAAAACTGTAGAACAAATAGAAGACAGCCATAAAAGGAATGTGAATGACATCCATTCAGGTGATTTCTCAGATTTGGCTCAAAAGTCCAGTTGCCATAGAGGAGGCTTGTATGGACCACAGTAACAGATGTCACTATCTTGTGTTTATGAAGTTTAAAAGTGGAAGAAGTTTTCAGCAGTCATATGTGCCCCTCTATCCTTGATCACCTCAGGAAGCGTTGCATTAACTTACTCTGTGACACTCTCACCAGCTCTGTAACATTCCAGACGCCTGATGTCACAAAACAGTCCTGGAAAGTCAAATGCCCTGCAAAGAAAAGAAGACACACCATCTAGGTCAGTGTTTCTCAGCCTTCCTACTGCCGCGACCCCTTAATACAGTTCCTAATCTTGTGGTGACCCCCAACCATAAAATTATTTTCATTGCTACCTCATAACTGTAATGTAAACATCTGATATGCAGGATGTATTTTCATTCACTGGACCAAATTTGGCACAAATACCCGATATGCCCAAATTTGAATGCTGGTGGGGTTGGAGGAGGGGATTGATTTTGTCATTTGGGAGTTGTAGTTGCTGGGATTTATAGTTCACCTACAATCAAACTCCACCAACAATGGAATTGAACCAAACTTGGCACACAGAACTCCCATGACCAACAGAAAATACTGGAATTGTTTGGTGGGCATCGGCCTTGATATTTGGAGTTGTAGTTCACCTACATCTAGAGAGCACTGTGGACTCAAACAATGATGGATCTGGACCAAACTTGGCACAAATACTCAATATGCCCAAATGTGAACACTGGTAGATTTTGGGGGAACATAGATCTTGACATTTGGGAGTTGTTGCTGGGACTACAATAAAAGAGCTTTCTGAACCCTGCCAACGATAGAATTGGGCCAAATTTCTCACACAGAATTCCCACGACCAACAGAAAATACTGTGTTTCCTGATGGTGTTTGGCAACCCCTCTGACATCCCCTGAAGACCCCCCCTGGGGTCCTGACCCCCAGGTTGAGAAATGTTGATCTAGGTAATAAAATAGAGTAGAAGTAGTGCCTAAAGGTAGCTTGTAGTGTGTGGTTGGACAGAAACCAACCACTTCTAGTCGTCCTATAGGTCCCTAGCTACCCACAGAATTGGCTTCCCTCCTCCAGTTATTTTTATCTCCTTCTCTCAGTCCAAAGCTCCTGATTTCACAACTGGAACCTTCTCAGTTCTCTTACTCCTGCTCTCTTACTACTTACAAATATTTCTTCAATTTGGCCAGCGTAATTATAAAACTGGTTGTGAGAGCCTTTTTGTGTGTGTCAGGAGCGACTTGAAAAATTGCAAGTCACTTCTGGTGTGAGAGAATTGGCCATCTGCAAGGACATTGCCCAGGGGATGCCCGGATGTTTTGAAGTTTTACCATCCTTGTGGGAGGCTTCTCTCATGTCTCCACATGGGGAGCCAGAGCTGGCAGAGGGAGCTCATCCGTGCTCTCTCCGGATTCTCAGTTACTAAAACCCATTCCTGGAAATGATTCCAGGAGCCTCTGATTCTTAGTTGCTAAAACCCATTCCTGGAAATGGACATGAGACAACAAGTTGGAAAGTTAAGGGTTTCTGAGGCAGCAAGACAAAAGACTAAGGAATCCGATCCTGGGGACTAATTCACTCACCATTGGGCAGTGGTTTGATGTCCGCATCTCCTTGCTGGTTTGAATTGTCTGATTGTCCGGATTCTGAAAAACAGAAGCAAAAACTGACATCAAAGAAATGCTCGTGCAAGAACAGAAGATGATTGTTAACAACTGGCACCCGCTGTGTAGGTGCTTCTGTTCACTACTTTTCGTGACCAATGAGAAGACTGTGCCATAAATGCTGTGCAACACCATTTCACTTTCTTCTCCCAAAACATAATATAGTCAAGAGAAATGTGGTTCTTTTAAACATCTGATCAGTATAATGAGATTCAGCTTCTTTGATAGATTAATGTCAAGTAGGTAATTCCTTACTTTCATATTCCATCACTGCAAGATTTTGAGAGCCAAGATAAGCTCCCCACAAGTTTATCTGGCATTATTTTCAGCAATTGCTGAAGAATACGGCATAGTTCCAGAGAAGCCAGTTGTTACCATAATTCAAACATGACCCAGTAGTTTTTGGCACTTGAGTTGAAAATACGAGGAGTATCCTCCATCCCAGTCAGGAAAAATATAATAAGAACCTTGATCATTGACATTTCACTTCTCTTTAATAGTACTTTCAAAGCTGCTTTGAGACAGGCCATCTTACATCTTATTGGAGGGAAGAATAGTAGAGGCCAATATGAAGTACTTTGGTCACATCATGAGAAGAAAGGAAAGCTTAGAGGACAATTTTGTTGGGGAAAATGGAAGGAAAAAGGAAGAGGGGCTGACCAAGGGCAAGATGGATGGATGGCATCCTTGAAGTGACTGGATTGACCCTGAAGGAGCTGGGGGTGGTGACGGCCAACAGGGAGCTCTGGTGTGGGCTGGTCCATGAGGTCACAAAGAGTCGGAAACGACTGAATGAATGAACAACAACAATCTCACATCTCTATCCTCTCAAGCTCACTTCTTTCCTTACAAGCACTACCACACTGGCAACATCTACAAGATACTCCAGTTTCCTTGTTTATAAGCACAATGGAAATTATGTGGGATAAAAGCAAATTAAGATATTGACTGACATCAGAAGAGAGCTAGACTGGTGAAAATCTTTGGAGAGATGCACAAGAAGGCTTCAACATGGCCATCTCTGGATTCTTTCTGCATCTTTTAATTGTGCGTTTGCACACTCACCTTCCACTGAACTGGATCAGTTAGTTACAAGTCCACTGACATGTGTAGTTTGATCCTATGGACTGGCTTGTTTCAGAGCAGTGAATTTTCAGATCAGGGACTGAGAATGATGTGACTTTATTGGCTATTACAAGTCCCAACAGCACTAGCCAATCTGGCCAATGTTTAAGAGCATGGGGAGTAGCAATTCAAAAATACGTATCTCCAACCCGTTTCAGACTAATCATTTCTTGAGGGACAAAATGAAACCAAATGCTTCACCGTGGATCTTTTTTTAACTCTGAGAAGCATGATAATAATTAAATAATAATAATAATAATAATAAAAATAAAAAATAGCCCCAAAAATAAACCTCTGTTAATTGCACAAAAAAAAAAAAGGAAAATACAGCTGTTGTGTGATTCTGGAAAAAACCCCACTTGCAATAGTACATGAGCCACTTCACTATACAAATGAAAACATGGAAACAGCCTCATTGATACACAGAGAACAGAGTACATCATCAAATAAGCCCTTTATTTGATGGGTTTCCTCTGCAGTGTGCAAATCTTCAATTTCTGTTCCCTTGGTTCAGTTCTGACATGGTATTGTCCTGCTTGAACACACATATTTCCTTTCTTTATTGCTTAGAAGTAGTAAAAACGTGGATGTTCCAATTTGCCTTTGATTAATTGGTTCACTAGTTGATTTAGTCCTTCTAACCTTAACTTATAATCTGGCTCTTGCACTTTACTATCGCACCCGCCCTTGCAGTTGTATTGCACAAACCCTTGCCCTGTCCTTTCAGTTCTGAACATGTCCACTGTGCTTGGCTACTGGTTGTTGGTTATTGCCTTATGTTTTTATGATGTTTTGTTTACGTATTTTATTGTGTTATATTTTAACTATGTTTGACTGGGCTTGGTCCACATGGAAACTGCCCCGAGTCCCTTTGGGAACATGGTGGCAGCATCTAAGAATAGAGTTATTATTATTACTGTATATACTCAAGTATAAGCCTAGTTTTCCAGTCTTTTTTTAGGCTGAAAAAGTCTCCCTTGGCTTATACTCGAGTCAAGATTATTTATTATTTTACTCTGTCATTATTCTTATTTTTCTTACATGTATTATTTTACTCTATTATTACTGTTACTATTACATTTCCATTATTTTACTCTATTATTATTATTATTATTATTATTATTATTATTATTATTATTACATTTATTATTTTACTCTCTCTATTATTATTGGAAGGATATGTATCCACATTCACATTGAAGAAGGTTAGAAAAGTGGTTTAATCAGAGTTGGGCAGTCTTAACTGAAATTTCAGCTTTATGTAAATATTAAAAAACATTTAAGCTACTGATGGCTCAATTAATGTAATTGTATTGGTATCTATTTTTATTTTGAAATTTACCAGAAGCTGCTGCATTTCCCATCCTTGGCTTATACTCAAGTCAATCCAGTTTCCTAGTTTTTTTGTGGTAAAATTAGGTGCCTCGGCTTATATTCAGGTCGGCTTCTACTCGAGTATATACGGTATATTATATTATTCTGCCTGAAGGTTTTATCTTTTGGTTGAAGCCTCTCCAGGCTTGAACAGGAAGTGTCTATACCCAGCTATTTGCTGGCAAAGGTAGCAGATGAAAGTCCAAGCTCTCAAGTGTTATTGACCAAAAAGGAAGGAAGGACGGAGAGAAGGAAGGAAGGAAGGAAGGAAGGAAGGAAGGAAGGAAGGAAGGAAGAAAGAAGGGAAGGGAGGGAGGAAGGGAGGGAGGGAGGAAGGGAGGATGTAGTGTGGCAGGCAGGCAGGCTATATCTTGATGGCTTTTATCCAATCAGGTAAACTTGTGACTTAGAGAAGACACTACAATGCTATCTAATTTGAAATGTTTTCTATTATTAACCTGTTAGGCAAACCATTTTCTCTGATTCAGCAAATCAATATTTAATTATCTGATCTACTTTACAAATTTCTGGAAGAATTATAGCAAGATGATTCATAAGAGGTAATTTGAGCATGCAAATAATGTCTACAAATTGCTAAGAATTGCTGCTAGATGCATATCCACAAAGAGAATCATGTGCCCCCCCCCCCCCCACAATTATGACTGTAATAGCAAGAGACAGCATGGAAGATGCCTAGATAGATGAGGACAATGCTGAGATGGACACCCCAGTTTAAGCTCCTTTGACTCTTTAACATGCCACAAACATCTTTCTTTATAGTAATACAGTACACCCACCTAGACTTCGCTTGAATAAGTAAAACTGTGGATAATAGTGAACCCTATTGAAATGAAGAACTTCTGGCACATGAATCCCATACAGTCACAAAGGAAGACCTGGAAAATGCCTTGAGATAACACTTTTTGTCGTGTGTGGATAAATAAAACTGCAGATACAAGTCTCAGATACAGCAGATGCACTCTAATTGCACTATGTAACAAAATTTGGGGAAAAAAATCTGTTCCTGGTTTGAAAGTGTCATACTCCAGACAGCCATTTTTGTGGTTGTCACAAACTATGTTGAATTGGTTGAGATTTTATGAAATATTCATTGAAAAACTGTAGCAAAATGTGCTTCACAATGCCCCACAAAAACAAAGTTTCTACAGTTCAATAAACTCTGTATATGTTTTTATGATAGAACCAATTAGGAAATGGCATTTATAATCCAGGAACAAAAATCGTGTTATATAGGGTTGTCAAAAACTTCTTTCTGTTTCTGCAACTCCAGCATTTGAATGTGGCTTTCACATGAGCTAGGACTGCTGTGTTTTCTACTTGAGCCCTTCCTATCCTAGTAAACATTTCTAGATCTCATCTAGTACTTCCTTTGAAAAGAAATTTCAGTAGATGGGACTAATTGTACAGTATCTTCAGATCTGAATAGAAGCAGAATATGTCAATATATTCCTTTCTACATATTCAGTGAAGGAATGTGCTGCTCAAATCTATCTCGGAAGACTAAAGCCTCATTTCCTTCCATGGCTTAGCATGAAAATCAGGATCCTAATTGATTTTTCTGCCCTCTGACGACAAGAAAAGTATCTCTTGGTTTGCAGAAAATGCATTTCCTCATGACAGTTAGAAACATGTTACATTTTCACCCAAGTGGAAGTTCAGATTTGCATGGCTGCTTGCCCACATTCACACAGTGTGGCGACAGCATAACCCCAAAGTTTCTTAAAAGAAAATTTACTGCAGGTTATCATCATTTTTTAACCATCATTAATGCCAATTATTAATTATTATTAATTATTTAATGCCAAGTTTTTAACATTATTTGTGTTTTTGAATACATTATAACTGTACCCTCAATTCACTTCTGACACAGTGAATGTGGCTATTAATGAGACATGCCACCTTATCACAGGGTGTCTGTGCCCTACATCACTGGAGAAATTACACTGTTTAGCCGGTATTGCACCACCTGACATCCGCCGGGGAGTAGCAACCAATAGTGAAAGGACCAAGGCAGAGACATCTCCAGCTCATCCCCTGTTTGGGTATCAGCCAGCACATCAACGACTTAAATCTAGACATAGTTTTCTAAGATCTACAGAGACACTCGCTGGAACACCTCAGCAAGCGAGAGTCCAAAAGTGGCAGGCTCAAACCCAGAACCTCAATCAATGGCTGATACCAAATGAGAGACCCCCCCCCCCCCCCGGGCACACAGAAGACTGGGCGACTTGGAAGGCGCTGAACAGACTGCGCTCTGGCACCACGAGATGCAGAGCCAATCTTGGGGCTACAAAGTGGAATCCACAACATGCGAGTGTGGAGAAGAGCAAACCACAGACCACCTACTGCATTGCAACCTGAGCCCTGCCACATGCACAATGGAGGACCTCCTTGCAGCATCACCAGAGGGACTCCAAGTGGCCAGCTACTGGTCAAAGGACATTTAATCAATTACCAAGTTT